TATCAAGAATTGAGCGTATGTTCTCACTGATGTTTCTGCCCGGGATATATCCTGATTGATTATGTATTAATTTAGGTAAAAGACTTTTCATTCTTTCTGCAATAACTTTTGAGGCTATCTTTGTATCAACATTCAAAAGGGAAATTGGCCTCCAGTTTTGAAGATCACAACGATCTTGGTCCTTTTACTCAATTAATGTAATTACAGCCAGTGTTGAATTGCCCAATAGTGTAGCCAACCAGAGTTGCCGAAACTACTTTTGGCGGGATGGGCTATTTTAAAGAATGGGACAATAACAGCTAAAATCCTGGAAACGAGATCTTGTCAGGGTAGTATACCACAGTCTTGAAGACGCGCTGACAGACGAATCAGTGGAAGACGAATTTGGCCATATAATTCGTCTATAAACACCGGATTTTATACTTGGAAGATTTATCCGTGGATAAATCGTCTTAGCTATAAATTCGGACATTATTACGTTAATGCCGCATAGAACTATTTTTACAGGTTTGTTTTGTAATATAACAACTATAAACGAACATTTAAAGCGTTATTCCCTTTTTTCGTTCGAAGCAACAGTCGATCATTAAGGCAACATTTTGTTTCGTTTCACTGAATTTTGGCCTTGGCCGCCGTATTCAGCACATTACCGCTTAACACAGAATGGAAAACCTTCGCATTTGTTAACACTTCGTTGTTTCAATCTAGTTTAATCACTTTAAAAACTTTAAATTTGCAATGCATTTCACTGATTTGCATATGTGCTCGTCACGATCATTTGAGCAATATATCTGAATGTGTGCTGACCAGTTTATTTGTCTGGCAATAGAACAATATAGGAGATAGAGCAATAGGATGCTATCGTCACTAAGGCCCCGGACGCCGAACGAATTTGAAAACGAAGGTTTCACCGTGAAAACGCATCACATGTTTTCCGTCCACACTACGTCAGAGAACATGATTTGAAAACGGAACAATCACCGGTCATTTTGGATTTGAGTTTGAGGAAAACTCGGGCAGGAAATCTCGATTATCGTGACGTTATTGTTTGCGAACAACCACGTTTTCCGAATGTTCTCCGTCCACACGAAAACGAACAGCCAGCGTTTTCAAATTCCTCAAGTTTGAAAAGTGTTTTCGAGAAGCTTCGTTTTCGTGACGGATTAGTGTGGATGGTAGGTCTAACCGGAGAAATGAAGCTGCGTTTTTAATTTCCTCCAGCGTAGTATGGACGCGGCCTAAATAAATAGTTCACCTATGAAGACAAAAACACTCACTTTGTTTCTGAGGAAACGAAGCAAAAATCGGATTTTGGTAAACAGTATAATGTCATCATAAATATTTTTTCTTATAAAAAGTCGAGACACGTGTGGATTCTTTCGACTTCACAACCGTGAAATTCAGAAGAGGGGCTTCGCAGGAAGGTGGCAAATTTTATAGAGAGGTTCCTAGCTACGACTGATTACTGGCTCAAATTCACAAAATGATGGCTACCTATTCACTATAATCCAACACTAGAAACACCCGACGCTTTCGATCGTGTCTCACACTAGCACCTAAACTTGTTTAGGCTGAAAACCGACACTCATCGTGCTCTTACACACATTGCATAGCTTTCCTGAAACCATTGTCAACCACCAACAAATGACTCAGATAAAAATACTTCACGTTTCATAAGGGAGTATCAAATACTCTTAATCTTTAATTCATTGTCAGAAAATACATTTAGGACTGAGTGAGGAACTTTGTAAGCGTGTGACGAGTCGAGCTAGGTTACGATCCAGCAAAAAGCCATCATAACTTGTGATACGGCATATCTGCTCTCCATAGATCCTCCAACACACTATCATTTCCAGGGAAGCGAGTAGTAAAGGATTTGATCATTCCACTCGGACTTGCCTCAAATTCTGTCAGAGCAACACAGTTGTCTTCTGCGGGAAAAAAATGAAGACAAAGGAAATTGGCGCTTCCTATGAGCAAGTCACTCCCGGAGGTAATACTCCCCAAAGTTTTTGGTCGGGGTGTGCAGCGCGAACCCCGTACCCTATTTCAGATCTGAGGCATAAATCAATGCCACATCTCAGACCTCTAAAATTAGTACACAGTTCTAATATATGACCGCAGCTGACCAGACATGGCTTCCATTCGCCTAAACATTTGAGAAAGTCTACAATATCTGCCAATGCTGATGCAGAAAAATAGTTCCTTGTAAACAAAATACCCAATTGCAAGCCAGATTGAAAAACATACCCTTTTGCAGACCAAATCGTTCCAAAACCACACCCTTTAGGGCCGCAAATACCTATATAGCCCATATAGGGGAGTAAACCCACCCCCCGGGAAGTAATTGTATAAAGTCTATAGGCTGTTTTCTTGTGTTTACCTGTCAAACTAGTGTGAGCTTGGACAAACATTCTTCTTGGAGTCTTTCGAGCAAGAACTGTTTTCCTGAGGGCTAAAAATTCATCGTCGACTGCTGAATAGCGATCATACAGTATCTTTCCGGAATCGTGATCTGCCGTTGATTTGTACACCTGGAGCAAAACACAAATATGTTAATAAATTAATCTCTTGTCTCAATACGTAACGCACTCCAAATCAAGGTGATATTATAAAAAGCCAAGATCACACAAGTGATGATAAACCTGCAGTTTTCTGAGGAAGTTTCCGATGGCCGGTCGTCCGACAGACTCGATCTTTGTTCGGTCCAGTGATATCAAGACATCTGGTTTACCGTCTGACCCAGTTACACTGGTCAACTGCACCAGCTTTTCGCCGGCTTCGAGGAGCACGCGCAATATGACGTATCGTGCCTGCATGTGAGCCTGGAAAAGCAAAGAACAAGGGAAACGATATTCTTCAGCAATTAAACTGACCAAGGCTCGAAGCAAAAGGAGTGACGTGCGGCAAGCAGCGCGGGAAAAAGTCACGTGCGCCACGTGGATTAGATCTTGATTGGCTGAAAAACCCAAGTCGATTGAAAATCGCTCTCCGGTTTTGTAGAGTTTCTTGAGCGCTGCTTCGCAAATATACAAATGTCCTCAAAAGGTAAAAAAAAATGCATGTATGCGAGGTGCCAGAACATTTACAACAACATAATAACTAACATAAACATTTGCGGCCACATATTTGCTACGCTACAGAAAATAACTGAACTTATTTTAAGTTGTTGTTATCACAGACGTACCTGTCTCCATTTCTTATTTTCAGGTGTAAAAAATTCCAGTCCTAACAATCCTGCCCGCACCATGTTGAGCCAGTTGATGTAAACTATGTTGTCTGCATCAGCGCCTTCATGACCAAATATTCTACAACAGACAACGATATGTGCAACAAGAGTAAAGTGTTACTGTCAATTCCACGCACAAAATTTATCCTCTTCGATTAACCTATCTACAAATATGTACAGTTAATTAAATTTTACAGTTGTCAGTATACCCCAGACGCAATGAAGCCACCGCTTGTCTAAACTACTGCTGGCTCCACAGTTTTACACTCAAGATATTTGAATTGAAGGCTTTAGAGAGAGTTTTTAGTTGACTGTCGTGACACCAAAGCCAAAGATATTAGCACAGCCAGTCACGCACACGTAAGCAACACTATTAAACAATAAGAACTCAGAGCATGACCAAGTGACATCTGATTAGTTAAAAAGGCGGCGCACGCTTTTTAAACCCATCACTGCCCAATTCACTGAACGTAAAATCAAATTGTAGCTGTGTAGCACTTTGAATTGAACTGCATTAGATTAAGTTTACAAAAGGTGCTTAGAGGTATTTTTAGAGACGTTTCGGGAAAATCCCTTCAACAGTCGCAAATTTGAAGCGTTAACCGTTTTTTTGAAACCGTTGAAGGGTTAAAACCGCGTTGAAGCGTTTTTAGCGCTTCAAATTTGCGACCGATGAAAAGGTTTTTTCCCGAAACATCTCTAAAAGCACTTTTTGTAAACTTAATCTAATGCAATTCAATTCACTGAGCGTAGTGCAGCAAAATCAATAGACTGATTATGGATTGTATTATATTCAATAGATAATTAAAAATGGCTCTGTTGGGTCATCTTTGTTGACATTATTTACCTGATTGGCATAAACGGGTCAGTTTCCGATCAAGCTAAAAAATATCAGCTCTGAATATTGAAAAGGCACGACACAATTAACTGTCCCAAGGCACTTGAGCGCGTTTTTATTTGTTAAATTCTTCTTTGCGACGGGGGAGTTAAAAGCTCAATTGAAAACCTCTTCTCAAGTGTAAATACTTTCTCTTTCTCGTGTTATATTCCAAACCAAATAGAAGATGGTGTTCCTGTGTTTCTAGGAAAATAAAGCACTTTTGAAGTCTAGAAAAAAAAAAACTGCTATACGCACTCACGTTCCGCTCGCGCGTTCGCAAGCCTCAAGCGTACATTATTTAAGAAACAGAGAACATTTTCCTTATTTCTGTCGAGTTCTAGATACACGAGTGGAAGTTTGAGAGAAAGAGAAATGCTGTGAGAACACGAGCCGACAGGCGAGTGTTTCCACAGCTTCCACGAGTTCTCTCAAACTTTCAAGAGTTAAATACTATCAGCGCACGTATTTTCTTCGGTATATTTTCTAATTTTTTGGAGAACATGGAACACCATCTTCAATTTGGAATAAAATGAATAATTGAGTGTACAAATTTGTGACGTATTGTTGTTAAATTGTCCCACTTGGCCACGCACCGCAGTGAATTATTGTAATGAATTGCGGAGCTGTTGACATCACGGCCACAGCTGAAGTCATATTCAGGGCATTTTATGGCTACTACTGACCTGAGCACTTCTTTAGAGGTGCAAAGATAGATTCCCACACACTCTGCACGGCATTCCTCATACGACGAACTCAGTTCAGCGAACCGCGTGTACCAGGTCTCCCCGTCTGTGTACCAGCTAGAGATCTGGAAACCACAATAACAATGTGAATGTCTGAAATACCTGTAACAAAAACGAAACTACAAAATAAAATCAAACCGTCATCTTACTTTTTCTCCAGTTTCTGTGTGCTTCACTGCGTCAATATCAAAATTGAACTTGCCGTCATTTCGCTGAGAAATTTAGAAAAAAAGTATCATAAACATCACGTTAGAGAACCAAGAGATGTGTTAAGAAGCTTCAGCTAGAAAATTAAACATTAGAAAGAAGACAAGACAAAGCCGTCACTCACGACTCAAGCGGGATCAGATGAGGACAGCAATCACTCACTTTAACAAAGAGTTTCCCGCTTCCATGACCTAAGAGTTCATGAAGGCCAACTTGAACTTCAAATGCTGGAGCTTTGAGCTTGGTAAAGAGTTCCTAAAAATCAAGGATAATTATATCATAACTGTGGCCTGCAAATAATATCTGTGAAGCTATAAGCAACAGAAGTAGTGTGTGAAACGGTGATCTGATAATTATTGTTTTGTCTCCTTTTTATTGAAAATTTTAGTTTAGTTTTGTTTTGTTTTGTGTTT